GAAGTGGAAGGAACAAGGAAAGGAAGTGGTGAGACTGGTGGAGTTGGGTGGCGGAGAGAAGGGGAATAGTAAATGATATAGGAATATTTTTTATGTACAGAGGACCGGGAATTCTCCCCAGGCATATAAGTACCCAGTGTGAACGTGTTTTCCTAAACAGCGGGAAAAAAATGGAGGGTACCGAGACGATCTACTGAAGGGGGCTGGGAAAGAAGCGGGTGCAGAGGACCACTGCCAGGAAAAAATGGGATACCCTAGAGTGGTTTCCCGTATTCCGACCCGTCTTGATATGTCATCAGAACCATTCTGCCAAGTGTTTAGCAGACTTGAGCATCCGCGCGGCTTATCTATAGCGAACGAGGCTTCACAACGTGCCCGTCCCACCCAGACTTCAGTCCCTTTCCCTGATGGACAGCTTCACCCTCGCCGGTAGGCTCCGTCTTTCAAGGAGGGGGGAGGGGGGGGGGGGGGCATTCCACGGATTCCACACAGGCACCACAAGGGCCGTCGGTTGGGTTAGGGGTTAGTAGGGTTCTAGGCTCCGCTTAGGACCACTGTTGTTTTGGCCCACTTTAGGACCCCTAGGATTCAGAGGCCAGATAGGCCTGTTTCGCTAGTAGGCCCAGTTAGGCCAGTTTTGGACCAGCGCTACTATCCAGGTTACGTCTAGGTGTCAGTCCAGATTTTGTGTAGGTGCCAGTCTCCTGTTGGGACCCAGTTTTTGTCTCGTTTTCGTTTTGGCGCCAGTACACATCCTGGCCCAGCAACGCAGCACTATCCAGGTAGTTTGAGGCTGGACTTCGGAGAGCCCAGCGCTATATATAACTGGCCCTCCTCCAGTCCAGCCGGTAGTTTTTCGAGGTAGCACTGAGACAGTTCCTCCGAAGTGTTCAGTAGTCGACGTGCTGGGCGCAGTAGCATTGGAGTAGAGAGTAGTTTTCCAGTGCTTGGTGCTGTGCTAAAGTAATCGAGCTTGGGCTGCAGCATGCTGCAGCGGGGACCAGGGACTTTAGGCTGGTGGAGGGCGGGGGACATACCTGACGACTTACATGTGATGCCGTCGCTCCAGCTTCGTCTTCAGCAGGTCCATACTGCATCAAGGCGCCACCTTTCTGCACGTCAATACCTGGATACATCACACACAGAGAGAGAGAGAGAGAGAGAGAGAGAGAGAGAGAGAGAGAGAGAGAGAGAGAGAGAGAGAGAGAGAGAGAGAGAGAGAGAGAGAGA